GCTCTTAACACCTTCACCCCCCCCCCCCAAAGAAACTTATAAGTTGTGTGGAAAAGCGAGCACTCTTTCCTCCCCCCCCCCCCACACCGCTTTTTCACACTGGCCCCTGAGCCTGGCATTTAAGAGAGCAGGGCGATTCTCACAGCATTATAGATAGAGACCCTGTCACTGTTTCACTGTTGACAATTTGGAGAGGGTAGATGTCAATCTGGGAGGTTGATTTTATTTATTCCTTAAAGCTATATAGCTGTATCAACGGGTATTCTTTGAATAATATACCAGGTAGAAACGGTTGGGATTTTTTGTAAGTTTAGGATGCAGAAGATAGTGTGTGTGCACGTGGATAAGTGTACATGTACATAATTACATGTGATTTACAGAGAGATAATGAATGAGCCTCCTGCTGCAAATTCAGCCCAGAACTTTATGGCTCTTAAAACCTAGGAGATGGACACGGCATGACTTTTGGTGAGCTACAGCTCATTTCACGCAGTGATTCCGCTGCTGCAATTTCTGCACCTGTTTTCTGTCCTCATCCCATATTGTTCTGCAGGCTGTGCTATGCCTTGAACTCCAGTAGTAGTCCAGCAGCGGCTGTGTTTGGCCTTTTGTCCCCAGTCCCTGGCCTGGCCTGGCTTAGTTCATTAGTTACCTAACACTTGGCAGAACTTCCACCTAATTAATACTAATGACAATCTGCTGCATGTGCGGAAGAAAAGGTGGCTGCAGGGAGAGTGTGCCCAGTGCTTGGGCAAACAATGTTTACCAAAGAGATTGTCCCATATGAACTCTTACACAAAGATGGGAATGGGGAAGGGGGGAATTAACCATCTCCCTTTTAATAAAGAAAGGAGCAACATCCAGTTTGGGGTGGGGGTGGGGTGGGGAGTCCAGTGGATAGCTTTGCTGTCCATTCAGGCGACTCAGTCTAAAATTGCAACATGTATAATGTAATCTCACAACATCCCCTGGAAAAATTAAGAAGGATCACTAGGATAGTATCCAGGAGGTGTTTGGATTGACATTCAAACTGGAGGTGTTAAAAATGATTCTGTTATGAAAATGAATTTCTGGGCCATCGGAAGATCAGTGTTTGAGAATGGACTGGTTAAGAGTTTACCCTATCCTGGCTGGGTTTACTGTCAATATTATTCACATGCAAAACTTTCTAAAGTGTCAGCAGTAACACACAATAATCTTTGGCCCTCGTTGCAGCAGGATAATGGAGTGACAGAATCCTAACCAAGTTTGGTGTTTGATGTTTCTTGACTGTAACTGGCACTGTTGGGTTAGCTGTTCTGCTTTGGCGATATCTTTAATGAGAACAAAGCCTTAGGTTGTGGGGATCTGATCGTGGGGATATTTATATGTATTCTTTCTTCCTTTGTCATTAAGAAAGTCAGTTATATCAACCTTTTGAGCCATGCATGAAGAGCAGATGTTTTTGGGGGGTCCCAGAATTAGTTCTGATCTCTGACCCTTGTAACTAGTCCAGACAAGTGAGAAGGTTTAGGTAACCATCCTACATTTTTTGCTAGACTTGTTTTCTCTTTTTTCAACTGTGACAACATTTTGGTTCTGTTCAGTAAATTCTTAGAAAAGCTGCATTTGAGCCAATAGTTTCCTTTTAATCAACTTTCTTGGTTCTATAATATGAAATGGAGCACTGACATGACCTTAAAATGCCTTGTAAGACTTTCTCCTATTTCTGTAAATTCCAGTTTTCAGTTCCAGTCCCTCTATCCCAATATGGTATTGGCTGGATGTTCTGTGAATGCATTTATTCTACATCAATATCTTTCAAAACAGAAAAAGCGGAACAAATTTGTGGAAAGGTCTAAATTCTTAATGATAAAGCTGTAATACGCAGCAAATAATCTTAGTAAAGTATACAGAAATATAAATATTCAAATTATATGTGAAAAAAAGTATATTTCTTATTAATCCAATAGGGTACGCCACTTTTTAAAGGACTTTTAATTATTTGAAAGCTGTTATACTTGACATAGAGAACAGTATGCGTCAGAGCTTCCAGGTCTGGAATGCAAAGAGTTTTTTCTCTCTCTCAAGTATAATCTAGTGGCATCTGGATTTTGCAGCCCAGATCAGTAGCCCTAATATGTATAGCCCAAAGAGCATTTATGAAAAAAGATCAACAAGCCCTGGCCTTTGTCATCTGAAAGTTGCATATAGTATAGACTGCTTTTCATTTTTGTAAGGATTAGAAATGAAGAAGTTTCTCAGAAATTGATATCTGTACTGTAGTAACATCCATGATAGGGATCAGCCCTCCCCAGCCTGGTGCCTGCCAATACACTAGACTACAACTCCCATTCTCCATAGCCAGTTTTGCAGTATGGCTCTCTGTGCCTCATAGCTTTGAAGGAGGTAAAGGGAGAAGCATGTATCAAATCTGCAGAGATACAGGCTGGAGAAGACTGTTACAGACAGATTCTAAGCTGCATGTTGCCAGTGAAACTATAAACATTTCCAGCAACGTATCTCTTCTCTAACTTGAACTGTTCTATCTCCACTTGACATACTTCTTTTTCTGTGACATGTCTAATATGGTTGTGAATTTTGCATAATCTTTGTTCCTTTTATCTTTAGTGTACTTCATTAAAATTTCCATGACTTGGAAGATATCACCACTGTTTTGTTGCAAACATAGCGAAGAATTCATTCTATGCACGTACTGAATGATCCTGGTTGTAATAGAGAAAGGTTGTGTATCATGATTCATCCATGTTCTCATCTAATGTAACTGAACTCATGGTTGGAACATTGTTGATATGATACTTCCAATCCTCATGCCCCAATTGGCATGAACCCTAGGGTGCACCCTGGGAATTAGGGATGAAGCAGAATTAACTTTTCTGTTCTTCCCAGTATTTAATTTATAATTAATTACATTTATTTGTTGATAATTAAATATTGAGTTTAATCATATCTGGAGGCTTTCACTGGTTCATTTTGTATATGCTTGGTGGTACTGTTCTCTTTAGATAACCAGAAATAAAAAAAAGCAATCTCCATCTATTGAAGTACACATGAGATAAGGTAGCCCTGCTTATTGGAGGGAGTTTATCTCATCTGTGCTGAGCTTTAGGGGTAGTCAAATGGTTGTGCAGTTGCTTCACTGCATGGCCAAATCAACATTGTTAGTCCCCCAACTTTTCAGAGTACCTCCTGATATTTTACCATGCCATCAAAAATGCTTGATCACCATGGTAAAATCTTAGCTTGCACTGGAAAATTTTGACTTAGCTTGGATTGGAAGCATAGTTATCTGTCTGTATCACTTTTCCATTGCACGCTGAAAAGAGGGATCAGATTGACTCAGTTCAGAAGCGGGCATACTTCCCAGCATTGCATTAGAATCTGCAGCCTGATCAGAACAAGTTCCAACTTAAATGAAGTACTGAGCAATCCTTTACATGTTTACTTGGAAGAAAGTAACCCTATGTTCAGTGGGGCTCTCAGCAAAGCATGCCTGTGATTCCAGCTGGCCAGCATTCTGATGTCACAGCACTAGAACAAGCCCAGTGGCTCCTTTGCTTGCAGACCTGCAGAATGTAATAAGTGTAATAAGAACAGCATGTGATGTCCTTCCCAGATCTTTCCTGTTGTTGTTCTTTTCCCTCAGAAAAGAAGATCCAGTCGGTTTGGCACATTATGATAGGTTGGAGGTCTTTGGCTGTTCCCCTGCCCAAAGCCTGTTTCGTATATTGTGGGTTCTTACTAAGGTTGAGATTTCCTAACCTCAGGACAGCCAGCAATGAAGTCTAGGTGGAAGCAGGGGCAATGTTAATTTCAATAGAAGAGAATACAGTATATGTAGCTCAGGGTTGAACTGTGGAGTCCTTGGGGTTCTCTGAGCTTGGTTGCTTTCTTGCAAGCGTTTCATTACCTAGGCGGGTAACGAAATGTCTGCAAGAAAACAACCAAGCTCAGAGAACCCCAAGGACTCCAAAATGTTAGTTTCAGAGGATAGAAACCAAACTATCTATGGGCCTGAGTACAGCACCAGAGTCTTAACCTACTTCTTCTGTTGGGTTGGCTGTGAATATAATGAAGCTAGTTAAACAGATAAGGAGTGTTCAGTACTCCAGGCAAGAGAGACAGATAGCAATCCTAATTTTGTGTATGTGGAGATCCAAAGGTAATGGTG